ATTAATTTTCATTACCAATTAGCCAAAATCGCGAAACCGAATGAAGTAGACCTTTTTCCTTGACTGTAAATAATAAACGCATTAGTAAAAACGCAATACCACATTTAAATCTAAAAATTTTGTATAAACTAATTGTGGTTTCTCTAGACGGTGCTTAGGTTTGGACGGTGGAAAAATCGTTAGAGCAGTACCTCATTATCTTACCTCTATACCCGATTAAACAGTTCCATGTTATTATACTGGTTCTCTTTAATGATCGAGAGTTGTTCAAGAAGCAGTGAATTCCTTGACGATTTACTGGCATAATTAAATTGGAGCGTTCGGCGTAGCGTTTACTTACACCAATGAGTGGCAACGCGCGCTATCACAAAATAAGAGCGCTAACGTTTTGGCGTTTTCTCTTTCTCTTCAATTTCGCATTACTTTAAGAACATTTAATAAATTAATTTCAAACAAGATAATATGAACTCAACCGTTTGAATTGAAACTTTTCAGTGAATATTTATTATTTTATTTTAAAAGTACAATTTATTTGTCAAATTTTTCTTCTATATGCTTATTCCCCTTCGTCAGTTTATCCTCCTTTCTTTCGCACTTTTATCCTTCACATCTAACTTCATCATATAACGCACTATCAAAATTGAAAATTCCATTTGCTCAACGTTGATGCCGCGTTATTGTGGGATGTCTCAAACAAATTGTATGGCCATGAGGATTTTTGACAGTTGTTTGGCGCTCAACACTCCAATTTAGGGATAGCAGTTAGTGTCCAATATCAGTCAGATTCGCCTACCCACGTTCAACGTTCCCCCGAGCAGCCTGGGATGCTCGTATATCCTGATACTCATATCACAATTGAGCTACGTTTGCTATAAGCTTTACTTGGAAGACGCTTCAGCGGTCTAAAAGGCTCATAAGGACCGCGGCAGGACATTAAACTATTTTGCTCCTGGAACAGTGAAACCAGATAATAAATCAAATAAACAAGAATAAAAATAAAGTTTTATGATATGTTTGAAAAGTTCCACCAATTAGTACTTAGTATTCTGAGTTAGCTTGAAAGGCAAGAGGAATTACGAAGAGAGCAGACTTTTTCGAATGTGGGAAATTGAAAAACAACAAAGCAAACAGGTACAAGCAGTACAAATAAAATAATATAAATAAAAACCAAATCTCGTTTTCTAGCAAAATAGATAAAACAGATTCGATTACATGAGCAGATGAAGATGCAGCCGATAAATCTAGGGCAAGAATTCTAAGGAGAATCTTGCGAGACATGTGTGCTTCTCTTTAAATTACCGACGAATTACAAAGAAATTATCTTGTTGAGTTACTATGACAAAAATGAGCGCGGACTGTCAAACAAGTTTATCGGCAGCAGCTGTTGAAATCAGTCGACCTCTGTTCCTTTTTTACGGCCTTAATCAAGTCGAAACGGCTTCCAGGGAGTACTAACTTAAGTTTTGGAAACAAAAACAGTCGTATGGGGCTAAATCCGGTGAATATGGTGATTTATCGATGGTACTGGACCAGTTTTTGGCCCTAAAAACGTTCACAACTACAGCTCGGTACGAAAGTTTCCGGAAATTGTTATCCCACAATTTCGGCCGCTTACAACGGATGTTTTCGCGCAAACGCGGAAACTTTCTGGTCTTAATGTACATACATTGTTTGAAAATTTTATTTTTGGAGCTCACGAAAATAAAATACTTTACCGTTTTTCGCCGACTAAAGACAATGAAGGAAAACGTGGCTACGATAGAAATACAGAATACCAAATTTACTGATGGGGAAAATTTAGATTCGAGTCGAAAGGTGATATGCGGCTGAATACTGATTTTGTCGAAAATTCCACAAATAAATTTTTCACTCTGATCGATAATAATTTCAAATCCTGGAAAACGGCAGTTTCGCAGTTTTCTTCAATCTGCAAGAATAAAATGAATTGGTCAGGTCCTTAAGAAGAAATTTATTCATTTGATATTCTACAATATAATTGCTGGAGGGTGTTATTAGGCTTAATTTTTTTTAATTTTTTTTTATTTTGCTGAGATTTGTTTTCCACCTTTAACTTATTTAACATTTGCATGACTTTTAGGAGCATAATTTGTGGTCATAAGGAATGTTTTCATACTTTAATCAAAGTAAAAGACATTTCAATTGTATAGAGTGCATCATTTGATGTTTTTCAATAGTTTACCTACCTGCATATACGCCTTTATATACAACATTATTCTACTATTCGAAACACAAATTGTCGCGCTTGTCGCGCACGCGCTCTTATTTTTCCCTTCTGCCCTCATAAGTGACGACGACAATTCAAACGAAAGACATCTGCCTCTTTTGCTACGGTACAGTGTTGGGCTTTCCAGATGTCCTTTCGTCGATCTTTTTTTTTTTCTAATTATCGTTTTTTTCGTATTGAAAGTTGTATTTCCGAGGGGTGCATAACGTTTTCTGCAAGATAAGAATCCAACAACAATCTAGAAACCACACTCCAAAACTCACCCCTGAGCGATCTTCAGTACTGCAGCGCATTGCAGTTCGGTAAGTAACGGTGCAGATCCTCGGTCGTGAAGGCAGGCAGACAGTCAATATGGGTTGATTGTTTGTACATGTCTACATAAATACCAGTTATGAGCATATACTTGTATGAATGTATTTCTTTTTACACACATTTGTGTGTGTTGAATGTAAGGATATATTTTGGCTTTCTTCAATAATTCGACACGGCACGATGAGCATTAACTACCCTTGCACGACAAAAAGTTGATTTTCCTAACAGCATGCGTAGATGAAGTCCCGTGTACCTTATACGAGTACTTACTTGCTTTTCAGTATGTACGTATATTTGTAGCGTATTTTCTGACGTACATACATATTCGTATGTATGATGGTGAGCCAGCATTTTTTGTACTTCTTCAAAGTATGGCACGAGTCGTTAGGATCTCTCCATGCTCTTCTATGCAGTTTACATATATATATATATACATAGATGTTTTTACGACCTGCGTCAATATCCACTGAGGTATTTTAAATTTGTTCGCTTTGTGGCAACGGGTCGGCGTAAAACTCGCTAAGACTAATAGGTAGGACTCACACTTTTTGGAAAAATCCCGATTGCATTGTTTGAAAGAAGTCAGAACTAGTCTCACCGACCCTTCATAGCTAGATTAAGTTCAAATTACAAGATATTTGGATAATTCAGAAATTTGGCATGTTTGACTGTGTGTGAATTGAGCACCACCAAAACTTGTTGGCTTGCCATGTTGGTATATGTACATTTGGGTCCACAACTACCACATTCTCTGCATAACTGTGAACATACAACAATGTTCCACCGAAAACAGATCTATCTTACTTTATTGTTGTTGCTTCACAGTTGTCTTAAATTATGATCACTCTCTTTTCATCGCTTGAGTTTATGGCATGTCAACTGTGTTTTCAATGGATTTGGAGATGCAGCTGGTAGGAACGAAACTTGAAGGGTGTTTACATAGCCTGCTGAGCGTTTGAATGCGCGAGTGGGTACAGTTTGCTCAAAAATTGCAGCTTGTGACTGCAACCTGTGTACGTTGTGATGCTGGCAAATGTTGGCGAGAGCTCAATCATAAATTTGTTATATTTCCTTAAAATCTGACTAACTTTTACAAACTTTATAGTTACTTTTGAGTTTCATAAAATGTTAAGAACTGAAAATTTACACAAATATTAAGACTATCGTTTATCGCTTTAAAGGCAACTTTGTCATATCTCCAAAATTTCGGTATAATATTTGAATAATTAAATATTTTTCAACAAAACTCATCAATCGAATTTAATTTGCCTCGGCTCCTTAAGGGTTTATACACAACAGCGAGAATTTTTTTAAATTTTTTATACAAATGATTTTTATTTAACAATTAAAAATGATGGAAATTAAAATCGATTCTACATTCAAAATAGAATAGATTATCGTTGATGTCCCGAATGATTGCCAAAGATCTTGGCGGTTCCCTACATTTCGGCGGTTAGAATTATCAAAAACCATCCACATTATGGAATTATTTTAAACTATGTATAGTGACCGAGAGAATAATAAAAGCGCTGATTTTATACAAAATATTGTTTATTTGAAAAAAAAACGCTTTCGTGTAAAATTTCTACTTTCTAATTAAAAAAAAAAACAAGAATGTATTTCTTTTAAAAAACTGTGTAACTTTCTCAGAAATCATAACACCGTTTGGGAAAGAAGAAATTGAAAAAAAGTAACTAACAAATATTAAATTTTTTTTTATCAAATTCAAGTTATATCTCCGATTGGCTTGCAACGTTCAGAGAGTATATTTAAATATACTTAAACATTTCAAAAATGCAATAATTTAATTTTTTGAAAATTCTTACTGATCATAACCCTTTATTTATATAAATAATTCATACAGGCAACCTACCAAAGAAGCATATTCATATACTAAGCATCAGAACATATTTATATATACACGTGTATGTATTTGTTTTCAAAAATAATAAGTTTACTTACGAAACGTAAGAACGATATAAATATATATATGTATATATATCAAAATATAATTAGCGCTTTGTAATCAACGAAGCGATTTTTGGCCGAGCTCCTCCTTCAATTTGTGGTTTTACATCTTGATGTTTATCCAGCGAATGGAGAGTCCTACAGATTATACTAAGCCGCCTCCGAACGGCTGATGATTCCTTAATGAGGAGCTTTATTTCATGTCAAAAATGCTCGGTGGAGTTGACATTCCCTGTCGAAAAGCGACCGCAATTATAAAATTTAACATAATTTTTTATTTAAATTAATTAATTTAAATTAATTTTCAGCAAGATTTGAGCTCGAGCCTTCCGAATGGCAGTACGCAATGCTTACCACTCGGCTACCGCGGTCGCCCAGCGATAAAAATATAAAAATATTAACTTACGTCTCTTAGGCTCTTGTTGAAATCTTAACGCTTCTTCCAGAAGCTGAATGCTAACGCATTTATTTGCTATGGAAACTAAATTTCGATTTTATTTTGAATGCATTTATGACTTAAAAATTAATTATATTTATACAACTATTACAGTTTTGAAATTGACCACGGTTTTCTAAGTTTAAAAAACATATGTTAAGCACTATTTTGCACCACTGTGCGCCTAAATTTTCTTCGAACATTGTTGCTTACTTTGCCAAAATTTTGCCATTACATTTTCATCCCCTTTCAACTAAATCTTCAAAGCAACACATGATTGCAACAATACTTATGCTTGTTTTAAATTTTTTATTTTTTCCTTGGTCTTCATATTCTCCCCTTACCATAAACATTCATATAATATTATTTATCTCAATTGTTAATGTGCGCCGTCCGCACACCCTTGTCTAAAACTTATTACCTCTTATCCGGAATCCTTCATGTTCCCTTCACACATTATCCTCCCTCCAATTGTTTTCGCATAGAGGCTCGGTGCGCTATGTTCCGTCACCTATAGTTGTTAGACGGTTACTTATACTAGCATTGACTGAAATTTCTTTACACATAGGTATGTATGTATATGGAAATATGCATGGAAATGCACATGTGTGCTTATTGAACTCGTAAGGCTGTGGCAAACCAAGTGAATTAAAATGCAGCTGCCGCTCTTTATTCTCATTATTTGAGGTTCTCCTTTGTTGCATTGTGTTGGGTAAAAGTATAAAATTATGTGTGTGTGTAAGTGTGTATGTATGTTGACGTCGGCTTAACATTTGTTGAACTCAGGTTAGAAAACTGGGTTCTGAAAAGAAAAGAAAATTAAATTAATCTTTTTATTTTTGAAAATTTTATTTGACTCATATGCCTTCTTTTAGAATGCAAACGAAACATTACAGTGGCCTTAAAAATGTTATAGACAATACCAATAATAACTAACTGACTAATACAAATATGTAGCAATTATGTATGTGCTAAAAATTAATATATGTATATCATCAGTAGTAGACCGTTTTGCTTGTGGTTTTGTAAAATACTGTAATAATATGTATGTATGTATGTAAATATATGTGATATGTTCCCAAAAAAGCAAAATATTTAATATGTAAATACATATATTTTCACATATAATGAACAAAGATAATCACTATTACACCGTTATTTCACACCCAACCCACTAAATGGTTTGAAGTGAATAATACAAAAACAAAAAAAACACAAACCAGTAGAGATGGAGATTCTCAATCACTTTACGATTAATCACTCCAAGAAATATTTTATATTACAAAGTGCGCTATTTGACCGAATGTTCCCAAACACATACACTTGTACATAATTTGGCCTTAACAATATAATTGACATATGTAAGTCACAAATTACTGCATTTGGAGAAACTAAATCGACACGCGTGCCAAAGTGTAACAACACTTCACGCCCTCAAAATACAAGCAACGCCCCCCAAAAACACCATGTAATACCCATTAACAGCACTTAAAAAACTCCCACGCTTATTCCATAATGCTACGTCTTAATCATTCCGCTATCAACCACTCGACCTCGCCACGAGAAAGATGTACGTATTATCGAAATCTTAACCACACAACTTAACATTGCACTCGATAAGACGTGCCGACAGTAACTGAACTCAAGATTTGTCATACCGACATTTTCATACTTAAGAAGAATCACTTGGCATTTCTTCACAGCTCGTCAGCTTCAACGCCAGCAGAGGAGACCCGAGAGAAACATTTACGGCAAGGAAAGAGTGTTTACAAAGAATTTCAAAACCACCTCAATGAAATTCCTATAGTTTCATAGTCGGCAGGTAGAAAGAGTTAACACGACACTCCAGTTGCATGAAGGTAATGGCAAAGATGGGCAGCAACAAAGACGTTATTCAACAACGAATTCGCCGTAACTTCCGCTCACTACTATTTCCAAGCCTGATTTCGTCGTGTGAGTAGTTGAGTATCTGAGTATCTGTGTGTTTCTTACAAGACATTTTACTCACACTCGTAACGTGAACGTCGCCAGCATTTGCAAAGCTCTGCCTCAGCAAACGGTAGCGCAACGCCGCTGTAGCAGAGAGCTGCACTGGTGTGGGTTTTCTTATATCGTCGCAGAGAACTTCTGCCTGTTTTGGTGGTGGTTTCGGTTTGGTCCGGTATTGTTTGACTTTCTTATTCATGTGCATACATACCTATTTACATTCAAACATACATACATACTTATGTACATTCTTATAATTTCTTATTCGTTAGTTTTTTCCCACAAACTGTTTCTTGGTTTCTTGCAACAATAACAATAGCAAGGCGCTGTAGCGACAATTCCAATTGGATTTTACCACATCGACCAATAAGAAAACATCAGAGGCGAAAGCGCGCTTTGAGTATATAAGAGATTTGGGAAAAGTAAATTATTGTAGTTAGTTTTTTATGCAAGTGAAAGCATTTTTTCAGAAATGAATAAAACTTTGAAGTGTAGTATTGTTAAATAGACTAGAATTCACATTCCAACTAGATTAAATAATCAAATTGATTTTTTATATACTTGTACCTAGTGCACATACATATATATTTCAAATACTTTTTTCCTGAGTAAGTTTTCAAGTGTTAATTTAATTGTTTTATGCCTTAAAGTTTTGTTTGAATGGCCAATCAGTCGTTTACATTTAGATTGAAAACCTTTCCTTATTGATTTCTTATTATTATAAAACAACAACAGCAACAAAACCGTTGAAAACCAGTTTATCGAAATGTGCAAGTTTTTTTGCATAGTAAACTTACATATATTTTTTTTTTTTTTAAATAAGCATACATACGTATAAAAAAAATGCCTTTTATCATTTAGATACGTCAAACATTCAATTATCGTGCCATAAATAAAAGTTTAGGTAGGTAATTTTTTCTCTCTTAGCACCTCCTTTCAAAAAATACTTCAGAAAAGCCTAAAGATGTGACAAAAGAATCGAAATTTTTTACGAAATTAATCTGTAATAATTTATATAAAAAGAAATTTTTAATAATATATTTCGCAATGCAGTTTTATGTAATATCTCGATTCGAGAGTGAAAATTTTTTTCAAATTGCATTTGAAAATGCTGTCTGGATAGAGGATTACTTCATTTGCAGAGCTACATATCTACGTATCTACGATCTACATTTAAAACTTTTCAGCATACTTACATATATAACGATTGTAGCTTTACTTTTAATTATATGTGTAACGCATATACATACATATACAGGGTGCTCCATCTTTTATGTCGGTATGTAAACGCTGAATATCTTTCACATTTACCAAGCGATCGATTGCAGCAGATATGTTATGGAAACGTCAATTCAGTACAACTTTTGCCATGGATTGCTACACACCGGAACAACGCATTGAGATAGGGACACTTTACATCGAAAACCGTGGCTCCATTGTGTTAGCTCAACATGCATATCGGAAAAAATATCGCGGCAAAAAGGCACCATCTGAGAGATCATCGGATTTAACCCCCCTCGGACTTCTTTTTGTGGGGTTATCTGCCAAACAACCTTAAACTATTGATGAGCTCAAGGCAAACATTCGTGCTGAAGTCGACGCTCTAACACCCCACATGCTCGTAAAGGTAATAGCAAACGCAGAAAAAAAGGGTCATTTTGTAATTGCTAATAAAGGTAGCAACTTTATTGATATTGATAATAAACACTTTTTCTAAAAAAATGTAAGGAACTAAACTGAATAAAAATACATCACTTATAGAAATCGGTTATTTTTTCTCAAGGTTATTCAATGTTTACAAAACGACATAAAAGATGGAGCACCCTGTATGTAATCATATGCATGTGTATATATATAAATATACGGTATATGCTTATATTTACATTTTTACTTTTTTTTTATTTTTTTTCTGACACGAAAATATCCATATGTTATTTGTTCATAGAGGTGTTTCTTAAAATCTTATCACGCCACCTAACCACTTGCTTTGACTTGAAGTACAAATACTTCAGAATACTCAAAGAGTTTTGCTAAAATTATTTTCTTTAATACACCTACGTAAAAATTTGTGAACAGAAACTAGAACGGATTATCCAAAGGATACAATTTTAGTATCACGGAAATTGAAACGTTTGCCAAACGAAGCAATGACCGTAATAAGTTGCCCCTAAACACATCTTATCTTGGCGCAGACTAACTCTCAGCATATGTACATATATCTAACTATGCAAAAAAAAAAAAAAAAAAAAAAAAAAAAAAAAAAAAAAACAAATACGAACTAAATGTATGTGCGTCGCCAAGTATAGAGGTGTTTAGGTTAGCGTAAGTAAGGACCTTACCAGGCTTGGCGATCATTTGCCGCTATAAAGCACAAGCATCCACTTATCCGATTGTAAATGTAAATAATTCAGTTCCTTTGAAACGAAAAGCGCACACCGCACACACACACACACACACAGAACGTAAAGGCAAAGGATGATTCATATGCTCAAACGAAGAAATAGCAACACTGGTATAGACATACATACATAAGTGGACCAAAGTGGTGGCAGCAACTCATTATACATAGTAAGTCCATCGTTATGTTTGATTTGTGCAAAATCAGTATTTACACATGTATGTAACAACACACAGACACATACTTATCACAAGCAAAATGATAAATGACTGCAATTGCAAGTTGTTGCACACTCCTGTACCTTTCCAATAACATACATAATACAAAAAAAACTCCTAGAGGTGGCATATGGAGTATAGAGAAAACACTTTGAGAAATAAAATTCGTTCATATCGATGCTGGTTTAAAATTTAAAAAACTTTGTGTTAGCAGCTTGTATTCAAAAGCACCCGCAGTGTTACATGAATTTGTATCTGTATGCATGTGCATATGTATGTCAGCGACTTCAAGGACTTCTATCGAGCGGAATTAATATACGCGAATATAGCAGTTGGACTTTCAATGGATATCAAGTATTTCAAAATTATATACATATGTATGTTTTGCCAATCTGTTAGCACGCTTTATATAGACTTGCGCATGTGTACATACGAACATATGATATTTTGTAAACCGCACGATCGTAGCATAAATCTAATTTAATTGAAGGTCCACGCGAATGCAATACTTTGTTCCCCAAAGTTTTTCTTAAGCTACCACAATAGGTTTGCCACACGTCTCATGCTGCATCTCAGCCGTAAAACCCCTACGAAAGGTGCAATACAATCGTCTTTATATGCAGCAACTCATAGGGAAGAAAAAATGAGCATTTACAAATCAAAGCAAATGCTCTACTTCAAGCGTTGTAATCAATACGAAGACTACCCGCATGTGCTGCAAGCCAAATCTCGGTTATTTAGCTGCTCATCTTTATTCATTCACTCATTTGATTTGGTTTTTAATGCGGTCGGTCGGTCGATCACCAATAAATTGTATGCCCTGTCTGAGGATACAGCTCGAAAGATCCACCATATTCCGAGCCACATGCCATGAACCCACTTACCACATTTAGGCTTCCATCCATACATCGCCGCATTGTCTATTTGTCCATGTGCAATGTGCAAAAGTAGGGATATCATATGTCTTGACGCCGTATACGCCACAAGAATTTGCGGAGCGCTGCACTGCACTCAAATACACCCTCACAAGCATTCATTCATACATACATATGTAGCAATCGATGCCGGCTGTTTTCTACTTCCTACTGCCTACTGACATTGCTGAGCGTCTATTGTTTGTCGTTTAAATGTGATTTTTTAACATCTGATCCAATTGACGCAAACAGACCCTCTTAACCTTTTGCCAAGCACAGGATTGACTGACTGACTGACTGGCTTGAGACTTCGCTGAATAAAGATCCAGTAAGAGCACAGAAGTTCCACGTGTTTGTATTGATTTCGAAGAGAGAACATATATTGTAATAAGCATAAAGAATCACGTTATAATTTTATCAAAGTCATCTGTTGCCTTTGATGTATGCAACAATGTGGCATTCATTGGCATGAATCGAGATACGTGCCACAATCTGTGCCGTTGTCTAATTTGTTGAGAAAATGCAGCAGGCGTTGCTCCATCAGGTGTTAATACTTACTGCCTACATTCGGGCATATTTATGTATATATTATATTATGTAAGTATGTTGGTATGCTTGTGTGCATGTCGAGTGTGTGATTGGTTGAGCGTTAACTGCTGAAACGAATTTGCTATTAAGAATTCCTGTTGTTTATGATTAAACGAAAAGAACAGTTCACAGCGTTTTTGTGTTTACCAAGTTTTGTTTACTAATTAAGTTTTAATTGCCTGGCGCATACTTAGGTACTCAGACACATATATGTATATAGATATATATATATGTAAATATATACATATCTATTTATTTATATATATTTTTATTTATATATGTATATGAAATATAGAACATATTTACATACACACGCGTATCTTTAACTTATTTTTACTTATACATAGTACAGATAGAACTAAATATACACACATTTATACATACATACATACATAGATTAAATCTAAAATTTAAATGAAAACTATTTCTTTGCATTCGTTTTCAATTAAGAAAAGCTTTCAGAAATTTTAATCAAAAATATATGTACAATATATACATATATCTTTTTGACACCTTCTTCAGTTCACAACACTG